AACCTCAGCAGCCAAGGAAGCCCACAGGGCGTACACCAGCATCCTCCTGGTAGCGAGGCAATCATGCTCACCTGACAGGACGTGGGCACCACGACAGCACAGGAGATAAGCAAACCAGAGCCGAAACAACTCAGCCAACATCTCACTAGAAGACACAGCAGCTAGTGTCACTCCACGAGTGTCCCTACTCACTGGCAGCAGTTACAAAAGAGTCCAAGATGGGGTTGTAGGTGGCTTTGAAGGGACAAGCAAAGGCATAAGTCCAAGGGATTGGAGGCACTAAGGCCTGGCTTATTTAGCTCTATTCTTCCACACAGTAAAAGAGGCTCTTCCTAAGACACACAGAAAGGTTAACTGTAAGAAACTTTCACCCTTGCTCCAAAATTGGTACGAGGTCCCTACCTGCGGATAGATGGGTTACAATACCATGAACCCTTGCTTCCAACCACCCCATTAAGAACCTGGGCTGCCCTGGTGCCCTGGAGGCCACTTGGCCCATCCCCACACCAGAGCCCCACTCCTGGGGTGCGTAAGCCTGCAGCTCACTCAGGCAGGCAGTTGCTTGGGGAAGCTGGTTCTTGAGTGGCTTTGCTTACATTTATGGCTCCTGGTGGGAGCCAAGGAGGAGTGATACAAAGTACTGGCTCGGTCTGGAAAGGTCTGCAGCAGTGGACCGGACTGTAGTCCAGAAGGGAAATCTGGTCTGCTTTTCCTTACCCAACCACATGGCAAGTGAGGAGGATGAAGTGAGCATTTAGCTAGGGCTGCTCTGTAAAATTCAGCCTTTCATTCAGCTACCCCCCACTTGCCTCTCAGGTCTCTCTCCAGCAATGAGTCATTGCTGCCAGCTCCTGCAAACTCAACCCAGATGCTTGCCAAAGCCTTCAGCAAGCACCATGCACTCATCTGTTTTGGAGTCACCATCTCTGCTGGCTTAGGAAAATGCTTCTGTGGAAGCCCTCACAGACCAAAAGGCATGAGTTCTGTTCCAGCACTTAATCAGCATCTTTAAGAACTTGTAAGCAATTTTGTCAGTTGACTCAGCTGTGATGTCTCTGGAGCCCCAACCTCTCTGTAATAGGGTGTGGGGCACTTGAATGATGTGGGAGAGAAAAGCTTATACATGAGTCCTGAGACATCTGGACCTTACCAGACCAAACCTCTTCAGCTATTCTGTCATTTAAGTACAGGTTCAAAAGTGGCACTCTTCCATCACGAGACATGCAGCCTCAACAGATAATCAGTACGATGCTGCCTGAAGCCTTCTCAGAGGTGGTGTTCACACTTGCCCGAGATCCGTGGCACAGCACCAAGTTTAGTCCAGCCTTGCCATGACCAGCTGAAGAGATCACAGCAGCCAAACATGAGCTGATGTGCCCAAACATAGCAAAAAGCTTACCTCTACCGACTTCTGCAGCTTGCAGGTATGCACCTGGAGTGGCTCTTCAGAATAACTGCACGTTATGTTCACCTAAGCTCTTGCCACAGAAGCAGAATGGAGTTGGGTGACAAACTCCTTGTCATAAGGGAAACGATTGCAGTATCTGAAAACTGCATCTTCCAGTCCAGGTACTTCCAGAACAAATGTGCCTTAAATAACTATGGGGAAAATCAACTACATCATTGACTCCAAACCCAGCAATTCCTTTTCCAGACCTACATTCACTCTAATGAAACTGTAACCCTGATATTACTTTCAGACTCAAGAAGTTCAGCTAGCAAGCAGAGAACATACTGCAAACTCCTATACTGACATCCTGCCTGTCATGACCAGCAAATTGCTATCCTGTACCCAAATTACCAGCACCAAGTCAGCAAGTGAAAATGCCAAGTCCAAAGTAACAGCTCCATCTAAGAGAAGTGATACAATCTGTTTTTTGCCTACCCCAAAGATCAGATCAGAGCTGACATCTTACTGTGCATTGAGGATCGGTTGTGATTCTCCTGAAGCCAACCTCCTGGAACAAAGATGCAGTACTACATTAATACACAATTAATACATGATTTCAGGAGAAGAGCTGTGGTGCCAAGCTTTTAGCACCTCCTTTTGCTCCCAGCCTACTTCCAACTTTCAGCATGGACTTGAACACTGACCTGAATTGGGGTTCCTTGTGATCTTCTAATTGGCTCCTGAGATGGCCGTGTTACTGACCAGCACTGTTTGACAAAGGGTCCTGGCTGCCTCGCTTCTGCTGAGTGCAATCCACAAAAGGACCAAGATTGATCTGCAACCTGCCAGACTCAGACCACCACCTATCAGTCAGGTCCTCCTAAGATGCTTGCAGTCTCCAGTTCCAGCTCCAGTCCCTACTGGACTTCTGAAGTGCTGTCCTGTTGTAGCACTGTCCTACCACCTGCATCACGATGAAGATATACCCTGGCTCCTGATGAACTTTTAGGTCCATTTGCAGAACCCCAGTGACTCTTAGTGCATCTATGTCTGCTTTAGCCATACATAAAATAGGACTATAACTAGCCACCCCAGAAAGGAGACTGTCAATATCTGAACCACTGGAAGTGTACAACAGATCAAAGCCGTGAAGTTTCAACTAGACTCTTTCACTGGGAAGAAAAGCCTATCCGGTGCCTGATGGTGTGCTGCTGAACACAGACACCGACTGCTGAACTGCTGATGAAAGAGCACATCTTCAGCACCCCTTGGTGCAAGAACCATGAGGAGTGGCCCAAGGAAGCAACAGTATTTTGCAACTAGAAGACACTTGCACAAGCTACAATAACACACGTGCCTTGACCAAACCCAGAGCTTTCCTGAGCAAGCAGGAAAAACTTACCCTGAGGTCTCTGAAAGGGAGATGCTCTTACTTCGGCTTCCTGCTCCTGACCAGATTGCTGAAGGACTTTGTATTCTGGCCAGTGCTGCTCTAGCACACCCTCCCCAAGACATGCCAGCCTCTTGCAACTGAAGATGGTGCCTGTCCTGTGAAGACACCTCGCTTCTGCTGCTCTCTGGAGCTCCTCATCTTGCTCGACCATGGCTCCTGGTCCTTGACTGTGGCTTCTGGCTCCTAACCAGAAATGAGGATACTCTCAGTGGTTACAGCCATCCAGAGTCCAGTCCTTGAGAGAGCCCTAAACACTGAATGTTAGAGCCCCACAGCGTTACTTCTAACCTGAAGGTCTCCAGATAGAGTTATCCCATCTTTCACCAAGGGCCTGGTGAAGGATGGGAGACGCTCTATTGCAGAAAAAGAGCACCAGGTTCCTAGTGCAGTCACACCACCAAGCAAGGGGCCCCCATATCAACCCACCCACTAACTGTTCAGGCTTTTAGTCATCTTCTGGAAGGACGAAGTAGCCCTGTCCTCTGCCCTGCCTGCAGTTGTGTACAAGCTGCCAACTTAGGAACAAACCCCATACTTCCAGGCTTCACATTTGAAATAACTTAGGTTGGGAGGTTTTCTGGGAGCCTCTGGCCCAGCCCCACCATGTAACACCAGACTCAGCATCTTCAGCACTCCTCCAGCATGGGGACAGGCGCTGCTGCAAACAGCACGCCCAGCTAAAGGCAGGGCAGCTCCTCCCTTGGGTAACTTCTCCCACTCAAGCTGGGATCAGCCCTTCTCCTCCCTCAGGAACTGGGTGCCTGGCAGCTGCAGCCAGGGTGGCGGCTGTGCCCCACAGCAATTTGGAGCAGGCGGGTACAAAATGCAAGCCGTCAGCACAAGTCCTCTCTTGCCCAGGCCAAAAGCAAAGGCAGCAACTCCAAGCAGCACTGGAGTTTAATTCTGCTGCTTTAATTCTGCTGCTGCCTGGCATGATGGCAGATGAGGAGCGGGATGGGAGGCTGCTCGCATTGATGCTGGGAACCCCCAGATGGGCTGTGGCTTTGTGCAGGGGGCAACCGGGGTTTCTGTACTGGTTTTCCCGTGTGAGGCATGTGACTTACACGCTGCCCTCGCCGCTCCCAACCCCTGCTGGCCTCAGCTGCCGAACCCAGCGCTTCTTCAGGCCTGGGCTAGCCCTTGCAGAACGGCTCCCTGCCACACTCAGCTGGATCACCTTCCCCCTTTGATGCTCTTAATTCTGGATGCCAGCTAAATTAGTCTGTGCAGGTACTTGGGAGAAGGAAAGGCAGCGAGCACTGAGCCGCCCGCTGCACTGAGTGCAATGCCGCGTCTTGGCTCTGGAAGTGAAAGGCATGTGGGAGAAGCTGGTCAGACCCCAAGCAAAAATCACAAAGGAGCAGGGCTGAGCAAGACAGGCTTCCCAACAGATTAGCCCTTATCCAAAACACTCTTACCCACTCTCAACCCAAGGACTGGAAGTCTGAATCCTTTAGTCTCAGTTGTTGAGCAGCCAGACAGCTGTGTGCAGTGCAGGAGAGCCCTTCTGCTACATGCTCACCAGTAATTAAGCCATGCACAGGGCAGACGAGGATTTGCATACCATTATGCACTGCTGACAGACTGGAGCAGTCCAAGGTATATGTGCTATGCAGGTATTAGCATTAGCTAGGTGCTGGAGTGGAGCAGAAAGGCCTAATTCTACCTCTGGAGCACATAAACATTTGGGAGGTGCTGTGCCAGAAAGAACTGCCTGGAAAAAAATCAAGGAAGCAACAAACTGGCACCCACTGAGGTGAACCCAGCTCTCAGATCTCTTCCCCGATGCTTCTTCCCTTCCAGGCATCGCATCTGAGGCCATAAAAAATCCCACAAGGACTAGGTTGAAGGCAAAGCACCCAGGGGAGCGCTGAAGACAGGCTTGGACTGGTTGTGCTCTTCCACCCCACCAAAACTCGGGACCAGCAAAGAATTTCAGGTGGGCTGACAGGGATGAGGACATGACGACTTGCTGGAGATGACAATAGCTCATTCCCTGAAGGATACCCCACCCCAATCACCTTCATGGTTTGCAGCATAACCTTGATCCATGGAGAGCAAATCTCAGTGCCTTTCCCTCCCCACCATCCCACCAGCGATCCTCCCAGAGCACCAGCAGCAGCACCCTCTGGAAGGAGGACACAGCCATCAAGACCATTTGTCGAGACCATCAAATAATAATTTACTGTGATTCAATCTGTGGCTTTGTACAGTTGCCGGGGTGGGAGGAGGCCAAAGGAAGAGGGGATAGGTAAAGAAAAAAAAAGAAAAAAGTCGTTTTCCGCAGGCTTGGGTGAAGTGCGAGATAGTCCTTGGAGGGGCTCATGCTCCCCCTTGTCCTCTTCCTCCTCTTCCTCTTCCCCTCCCCCTATACTCCTCCCCTGCATACGTTTGCTTCTTCCTTCGCTTCACCTCTTTCCTTGCACTCTGCACAGTGGGAACCTCTCCAAGACACGGTCCAGTCAGCTGAAACCAGAAGAGGACAGGCATTAGCACCCATTCGCCGTCAGAATCAGCGGGGGCTGTTTCCATTACCAATCCCTCACATTCAGGATGACCCTGCTAGTGCCCACAGAGGGAAAGCAAAGGACTGTCTTGGAGGTCTGGACCTGGCTCAGCAAAGCATCTGCACGTGTGCTGACGGGAACAAGCAAATGGTCCATGGAGTGATGGGTGAGCCTTGGGCATCTCACCAGACGTTCTGCCTCTGCCCAAACCTCGTTGTGGGAAGGGGCAGTGTTCGGTGAGATCTTTCTCCTCCTCCAGGGATGATGGGAACCACAAAGTGAGTCCAGGGCAAATGCAGCCAAATCTCCCTGGCTCCCTGGCCACACACTCACCCTTCTCCCCAAAACCCAGTGTGTCCTCGCCTTGCTTCTCCTTTTGTGCCCTGATGTTCCTCCCTCTCTGCTCTTGGCCGCTGCAGATAGAATAAGCTCGGATGTCTGGTTTCCAGTTTCTGCCTGAGCAGAAAAAGATGTGGGCAACTCACAGGGCACGGTCTCTTAGCAGAGGGGAATGTTTCCAAGAGGCTCCTTCCCACCCCTTTTTGCCCCTCTTTTTGAAGGCACTGTCCATGCCGGTGCTGGCCACCGAGCTGTGACGGGGACCTGGGCTCCTGGCAGTTGGTACAGGGGAGCAGCGGTGTCTGCTGAGCCCATGATGTCAGCTGTGAGACAGAGCAGGAAACGAGCCCCAAGGTCGCATCCCCATCCAGAGGAAACACTCCTAAACATCTGGAGGACATGAACATCTGGAAAACCTCCCTTAGCAGTGATAAGTGTGCTGGGCACAGCATTCAGCTCAGCCCCCAGGAGACCTTGCGTGCCTCGGCTGGGAGCGGAGGGGTGGGGTGCTCGGGTGGTTTTTTGCTCATAGGAAGCAAACGCTGCCAGCGTTTTTTTTCAGGGAAGAGCTCTGCTGTGCTCACGGCCTTTGGCTCAAAAAGCGACAGAGGAAAACCAGCTGCCCACCTCCACCTTCAGCGAGACCCTCTTAGCACCATCTCTGGACACGATGCGCTTCTCTTTAGGACTCCAGCAGCTGTATAAAGGGGTGAAGGGCCAGTCCAGGTGCTTGGGAGACTCCCCAAAAGACATTAAGGGCAATGTTCATGCAGGCTTTTCTCCCAAACCCCAGTCCCAGATGTCCTTAGACGTACATTCTCCCCAGTGGACTCATCCCCAACTGCCTCTCTCTCCACTTCTGCCATGGAAGGAGCTGGTTATACAGCCAGATGTTCCCAGGCGTTTGGCTTAAGGCCACCCAGCTCACACAGGGACACCAATAGGAGCTCTCCCTCACTGCTATCCAGCAGGATTGCAATGATTTAAATAAACTCATCATTAAAAAAAAAAAAAAAAAACAACAAGGAAAGAAAAAGAAGAAAAACAGGCAAGTGAACATGGACAATCTGAAAAACAGTTTCTGGCTCCAGCACGCACAATTTATAAAAGCAAAACGGCCCCCTTATGGCTAATTCTCAACATTGCATCAGTTCCGAATATCCCAGGGGATGTATCTAGTGGGGAAAACTCTTCTGAGGAACACAGGACTTTCAGCATGAGACAGTCTGTTCTGAAGCTTTAGGACAAGGTAATTTACATGAGTGCATTAGGAGACAATGCACTCACCCAGCTCTTTATCTGAACTTTTCTAGGGCCAGTCTGGTGAACACATAGCGAGCCGCACACCTTCAACACCAGCTTAGCTCCTCTTTCAGAGGGCCAGCATGGGAAGGAGCTTTCCGGGGAAAGCACAACAAAACACATATTTTTTAAATTCAGTTCTGTATAATTTTGTTCCACAAAATGAGGGGGAAAAATAAACAACCCTTTCCTCCTACACACTTCCTCAGGAAAGTGGGAATTTTAACTTACCTGTGTTTTGACAGAAAAATGCTATTTCAGTCAAAAAGGTGTTTCATTAAGAAATACCCGTGGCTGAAATTGTTTCCTGCTGCATTTGTTTGCAGATGAGTGCATCTGCAGTCACCTCCTGCCCTGCTTCCAATATATTGCCGCTGCACCCCATCTCCTGCTTCCAATATAAGCCTGCTGCACCCCATCTCCTGCTTCTAAAACTCACCATAGTCACGATATCACACATTTACAGTTCATGCAGCCAGGGCCGCTCTCATCTGGGGGATTCAGCTTGCGCAGCTTGTGCTGACGGATCTCCCGCACCAAGGTGTAGAAGGCATCTTCAACGCCCTGAAAGAAAAGCATCACTTGAAGCAGTTGCCCACTTCGAGAGGGGACCGTGGAGAGAAGAGAAAGCTCTGCTCCCCAGATAGGGGTCTCTAGCTCTGTCTTCCAGCAGTGCAGATTGCAGAGTTAAAGGCACAAAACCAAGCTGGGAAGACTAACAGGGATCTTAGTGTGGCCCCCAAACAGAGAGCGAGATTGAATGAGCAACCATGAGGCCAAGGAGCTCTTAAGTCCTTGAGACTAATCAGCTTTCAGCAGCCTAAATGAGGTCTACCACCCAAGAGAAAAGCCACCACTAGACCACTGAAGGTATTAGCTGCTCCATTCCCACCTTTGTGCTCTGGGAGCCCCACATAGTCCTTCCAGCACTGGTACATTCTGCCTATAGGTCTGCCAAAATAGACCATGGATGAGGTTAGCCAAGTCCCCTGAGCTTAGCTGACCTGCAGTGACTATGGGGGTTATTCCAGAGCCTTGGAGAAAACCCTGAGAAGGCATCTTCCCTTCGCTGCTGCCAGAGCATGAATTACGCACTTCTCTGGATTGGAAGCTCAAGCCCGGACAGGGGAGGGAACGTCCTGATGGAGCATTTAGCCTTGAGGAAGCAACTAACCCTGGTCCTTGCACCCATCTGTCTGCAAGGTGGTGTCTGCCCGTTCCTGCCTCTCCAGGACAGCACTGGAGAAAAGAGAAGAAAAAGAAGATTTTGTTTAAAACCCTCCTCCTACCTGTCTGGTTTTGGCAGACGTTTCTATGTAGGGGATCCCATAACTCCGGGCCAGGTCCTGTGCTTGCCGGGTCTCCACTGTCCGGGCTGGTAGGTCACATTTATTTCCCACCAGCACCATGGGAACATCATCAGAGTCTTTCACCCTCTTGATCTGCTCCCTGCAAAAGTAAGACGTGCCAAAGTGAAGGGAGAAAAGGCATCAGGAGGCAGCTGCAGGACACTCTCCACCAGCTGCTTTGTCAAGAGTTAACAGCTACGCTTCGTTCCTGCCAAGTGCCTTGTGTTGGGCTTTCAGGAGAACGTAACTGACCACGGCACGTGAGTAAACAGCAAAATAGCTTGGGCACTTTTGGAAACGAAAACTAAACATACTTCTGCTCTTTACATGCAACTGTTTACAAAACACAACTTGAAATTATGACAATCTATATTAAGACATGAGCTTAAGATAGTTCAAGCTAAATAAAAATGAATACTTAAGTAGTTACCTGTGTTATTTCCAACATTTTAGATCAAGTAATCCCCCTGAACGGGGATTAAAAAAAAATAAAATCACCTGCAACCAGAATTTGCTGAGCTGATAAACCAGCTTTTGGCAGCCATAACCTTTTCTGCAGATGCACAGGCAGTATTTGCTTCCTTTCAGTGTAGTTCAGGTCACCCAAAGTTGAGAAACCAACTGGGAAGCAAAAAAGCTGTAATGCTCGCTTCTTCATTCCAACCTCAAATTTAAAACTAGGTGGGTGAGGATGAGATCTACCACTTCTAAAAATCTTAAAGGCCATTATGATTGCGAACAATCCATTCAATTCCCTCCTGATACATAACTTCCTTTGCTTAATAAATCATTTAACTTCAGATGCAAAACAGCTTTTTTTTTTCTTGCTCATGCATCCTGAACATTTAACATGGTTTTATTTAACTAATAAAAGCATCATTTAAAATGTTGATTTCTACATTTTAATTGAATTCAGATTTCCATCCAAAAGCAGCTGGACATGTATCACACACAAAAAAAATCAATCATCTTTTTTTAACGCAGTAGAACATAGAAATGAAGTCTGACTATATGTATGATATGCCATACAGCCACTTAAATGTTCCATGTAACATCCTGATCAGCAAATGCAAGTACTAAATTTAGTGCACAGGCTACACTTAGCTGAAAAGAGATACCTCCTAATGGTTACTAACCAGGCAGAGCCAGTGTTTCTCTGGGGAATATTCTTTTAAAAGTGCAAACATAAAGAGCACAGGCGAAGCAAGATGAAAGCTGGTGATTTACATCATGATTAAAACCGGGGTTTGAAATCAAGCCATCCTGTGAGTGATTCACAGACACCAGCCCCGGCACAAGAATGAATGCTACTGAATCCCTCAGGTGCTTTAGGAAAATCCCATCCTTTGTCCTCCGGTTCAGCTAAAACAAGCCAAATTAGTCCAACCGTACAGTTATTACACTGAACACACCTGCTAGCCGAAGACTGAGACATCTTGACAGCTCGGAGCAGCGCCTCTGACTACAGAGCAAGGAAGGGCTGTGCCCGTGCTCAGAGCTACAAGGATTATCTGAGACCCAGGTTTATGATGAGAGGCTGGGGTACACAGTCCCTTGGTGGGCAGTGGACAGAGCAAGGATAGGCAGAGCCATCTCTTGCATCCTCTGCAAGTGCCTCCCATCAAAGTCAAGCCTCAAAGCAGAGATCCCTTCCTAAGCTAGCATTGGGGGAACCAGGGAAGACTCCCGCTGCATTTATATCATCTCCTTTGCTCTCCAGCTCTGCAGGGGTGATGGCAGCAAGGGGGGTGGAAGTGGGATGGGTAACCTGGGTGCAGCCAAAGCAGGACCATGCCAGGATGGGGTTCCTGCTCTGCCACTGCACCCCTAGTACATCCTCTTGGGCAAGTCACCTTGCTGGGGCTCCAACTCTCCTCCTGCTCTGCCTTTGCCCTGGCTGAAACCGAGCTCCAACGAGCCATGAGTGCCTCTCGCCACGTGCATGCAGCCAGCAGACCGCAGCCTCGCCGTAACGGCTGCCAGCCGGGGAAGCGGTAACCCCCTGCCCTGCCCAGCCTCCTCTCCCAGTGCCCAGGCCCAGCAGAAGTCGCTGAGATCGATTGCACTAACAAAGCAATTCCATTAATTAGGGAGGGAAGGGAGGGGGTCATAGAGGATCAGCTCTCTCTTTAGTCACCATGAACACTTAAACATTACATTACTGAGTCCCCAAAGGCCACAAGCAATCCCTTCGGATGGGTTTTATTAGAGTCACTGACATTAGCCGTCTGCTCTGTCTCTTCCCTGGGGAATGGCCACTTGAGCTAATTGTCTTTGCTGGCAGCCGGTGCTTCCACCATGAGGCCTCATCTAAAAGGGAGGGCAGGAGGGTGCAGCGGCAAGGCCTCCCCTTTGCTCAGGGCAAGAGGGAAGGGGCCCTTCCCAGGATACCAACCTGTACTGGTGAATATCTTCAAAGGACTTGGTGTTGTTGATGGCGAAGACGCAGAGGAATCCTTCCCCTGTTCTCATGTACTGGTCTCTCATGGCACTGTACTCCTCTTGCCCTGCAGTGTCCAAGATGTCTAACAAACAGGTCTCTCCGTCAATGACAACTTGCTTTCTGTAGGAATCCTGCAGGCCAGGACAGCAAGAGAAAGGGAGGAGGGTGCATTAAGGGAGGGTCCAGCCAAGCGAAGGGATGCAGCGAGTGCATCCCTGGGAAGATGCCAGGTCACACTCTGCCTGGATTTAGATCCCATTAAATAGCCAACTCAATTTGTTTCAAAATGGAAGGAAAGGAAAAAGAAGAAAAAGAAGGAGAAAAAAAAAAAAAGGAAAAAGGGAGCAGCTGAACAAGTTTCCCCTTCTCTGGCAGAGCCACAGAGAAGACAGCCCCTGGCTTGCTCTCCTCATTCCCAGCCCTGCCTCTGGCAGAGCAGGGGCAGCTTTGTCCCTACCACATCACATAGCCCTCGACAACTATTTTCCTAAGCTTTATTTAGTCCCAGCTAAGCCCTTCTGCTGCTGCCCTGCCCAGGTGCTGGAAGGGGACACCCAGGAAAGGCAGCTCCGGCTGGCCAGGGCTTCCAGCCACAGTCTGCAATCTGTAGGGCTGGAAGGTGTGTAACATCACCTGGAAATCCAGCATCTCCAACACATCTCAGATCATGCACCAGAGGCGATATGCCACCAGTAAGGCTGGAAACTGGGCTTGATGGTAAAACTCTTCTTCAAACATGAGAAAAAAAATATCATGCTGTGAGAAGGGTGTTTCCCACAACCAGTCTGTGCCTAGAGGGCTCCAGGAGAGGCAGGGACTATCCAGGCAGGTCCTTTGAAGTTGGGGGTTTCCTTGCAGCAGAGGCAATCACAATTTATCACAGATGTGAGAAGGCCTGGAAATCACCCAAGGCATCCCTCAAAAGGTTTCATCTTCAAGGCGGGCTCCTCAAAGCACTGCTCCTCCCCACCATGCCTCTCCTTTGTGCCTGGTCTCATCAGCAGGGATGCTGCTGGGGCAGCCCCTGCGTGGAGGAACAGCCTCATCCCTCTCCGATAGCCATCTCCCAGGTATGGTGCAGCATCCTTGACTCTCAACAAAAGAAGGAAGCCAAAACCAAAGGTATGAAAAAGGTGCGAGTCAGCAATATGACCTTGACAGTGCTTTGCAGCCACTCACAGAGGCTACAGCTGCAGTTTAAAATTAATTCAAACGTCTGCTGCTCTTCCAATGACCACAACAATGTTATCAGATGAGCTTTGCAGGTCTGCAAACAGCCAACACAGCAAAGGTCACTGACAGGACCAACAGCAGCACACAAAGGGAATGGGGCTAACATGGCCTCCACCCTTTGGTTCATTACTACAACAATGTCATCTACTGGGGCTAATTAAAGTCTTTCCCTCACTTTGCAGAGAGGACCATGAAATCAGAGGACATCAGATCTGCTCTGCCGTGACCTTCTCAGCTGTGCCTTCCCAAAAAGGGGACTGATGACCCACTGGGAATAAGCGTGGAGTGATGGGCTGGCTTCCAGCCAACCACCCTGAAGGCAAGTGGCAGGCTGCCCTGCAGGGATACGCTCCCATTTCTAATCAATACTGTATCTGCAGCCTCCTTGGTGCAAGGGATAAGAGCACTAGTTCCACCTCCAGGGTCCCAATGCCTGGCAGGGACCAGCAAAGGGGACCCCAGTGCCTGCTCTACCCAGCAGAGCATCCTCCCACCCCTGCGCCCTGGTTTGCATCCAGAGGACCAGCCTCTCAGCACACATGTACACAATTAATTGCCAAGTCCCCAGTTACAGGAGGTCTCACCAGCAGACCGCACACCTATGGAGAAGCAATCCCACACCTCAGCTCAGGTTATCAGCAGGCTGCCCATAAGACAAGCCAGCTTGCTAATGAAGCAAAGGCATTAAAAGTTTTACAGAGGATGCTTTGCACCCCAGTCTCCAAAGAAAGGGGACAAGCTCTCCCCACCCTTGCTTTGTGTCCAGCTTCATCTGACCACTCTGCCGGGGATGCTCAGGATGGCAGCTCAGCCGTCCCTGCCACACTGCCAGGTGACCTGGCTGCCACTGCAGGGGTAGCTGCCACCAGCCCCCATGTCCAGCCACCGGCACCCTGCAGCCTCAATGCTCCTCTGCAGCCCCCCATGTCCTACCCCACCTTCTTGCACAAGGGAAAGTGGCCGGCCCCGGCTGTGAAGTTGCGGGTGGCAGAAACATCTGCGTGGGGTTCACACTCAGGATCCCAGACGGATGCTGGGAGCACCCCAGGTGTGCTGGGAGACCAGGCCATTTGTTAAACACTATGGTCAGGATATGACCAGAGGCTTAGGAAGCCTGTTACTAGCTGACTGCTAAAAGCTGGAAGACCTAAGAATTTCTCAACACAGTCTGACTCTTGACTCCATCCCCACTCATTAGCCATGGGACGCTGCCAGTGGCATACATTTCCTTGGTGCCTTGGCCCTGCTGTTCCCAAACTAAAGGTCTTAAGGCTCCTCAGCAGCCCAAGAGCAGGCGTGCAAGCACGTGCTGTAGCAGGTCAGTCAGCGCTGAGTTACAAAGCCAGACATTTGCATTAGTGAATCGGGAGGCAGGAGGGGAGCAGGCACTCCATCGGGGTCTCTGCCCCAGACAGGGGACAAACTCACTTCTTGACCCCTCCTGCCCTGGGAAGCATCTTCTCAGTGCACCCTGACCCACTCGCACCCCCCCTTGGCCTGCGCTTGATTCACTTAAGCAACAGGTAAAGCCTTTGCTCCGTGCACGTATACTCTTTTTTTGGCCTTTTTTCCTGCTCATTTCAGCATTGCTGTGCTGTTTGCTAGCTGGCTGAACAGTCAGAGTCAGCTCCTGGGTATGATCCAAAGCAGCTTAGTCACAGGAGGGTGGTTTATTGGTCACATTCGGATGGCTGGCAGGTAACTCTCTGTGCGTCCTAAATCCCAATAAAATGAAGCATAATTAAAAGGAGTCACCCTGGAATGACTAAGAAGATGGCCGGGGTGGGGGGGATGTGGGGCATGACCAAGGGACCTGCAAAGGCATCAGGGCTGGTGGGACCTGCAGGTGGAAAAGCACCAGGGGTGAGAAGGGTGAAGAACAGCTCGTGGCTGCTTTAGAAAGAGAAGAGGAGGGGAAGAGCAGAGTGAGGCTGGGGCAAACAGGGGAGGACAGCAGGCATCTCCTGGGCACAGCAGGAGCAGGCAGGGCGAGGAGGGTGTGCTGGGAAATGCCATGCAAGGTTTACATTCCCCACTGCCTGTTTACATGGACAAAATTCCCTGCAGGGTATGTACAGGGGGCAGGTGGCCGGAGATGAAAAAAATAGGATGCCAAAACCCAACACATCACTGGGTCAAAGCTGCCTCTGCCCACCCTAAGGTCCAAGAGAGGACCCATCCATGCAGATGTCTCCCCAGGGAGGTTGTTCGCCCTCAGAAGCTCTTTTGCCAAAAACAATCTGGAACGGGTTTCTAAGACAAGCACACGATGCTACTGGTGGCAAGCACGTGAGGGGAAAGGAGCTGGAGAAGAAGGCAACTGCGTCCATAAGCAAGGTGTGGCACTGAGACTCGGGAGCCCTTAAATTAAATTCCAGTCTCTGCTGCAGACTTTCTAGGTGACCTTGGCCAAATGACGTAACAGCACGTGCTTTTAAGTGCTTTCTCTCCTTTCCATCTGTAGGATTGTAAGACTATTTCTGCCTTTCTACCAAGCCTTGTCTTGTTTGTTTATGTTGTAAGCTCTTCAGGGTGGGGACTACACATACAACACCTACCAGAATAGATTTCTGATCCCAGCTGGGGCCTTTTAGCCATTATGATAATAATAACTGCAGCAACCACAGCTGCATTTATACACATCTGGTAGAGAATCCTTTAGGACTGCAGACAGGGAGGTTATTGTCCAAGAGGCATGACAGAGCTGTAATTTGCCTTCCCAGGGTGGACTTACTCCTCATGCAGAGCAGTGGCTGCTGCCCACATCTCCTCCAAACAAAGGTGTAAGTCATGCAGAGGGTAATTATCATCTCGCTAGCAATGGTGAAAGGAGTATGTTTTTAAAAAGGAAAAAAAAAAAAAAGCTTAATGGATATTGAAGACCAGACCCATCTCCACACAGCCTGGAGGAACACAGGGTCCCTCCCTGCACTCCAGGCAGGGTGCTGAGCTAGACAGGCCAGAGGTACCATCCATGCCAACTATGAGACCCATACATCAACCTTTAACTCCTCACGATGGAGCAGAGGCAGCACCTTGGGAACCACAACGGTTCAGCTGCTCAGCACGTCTCGCTCAAACTGCAGGACATACATAATACAACCAAGATGTGATAAAATCCATTTCATCATTAAATCTCAAAACATCCCACATGAGAAGTCAATATACTTACTCTGATTTCACAGGAGGAGACAGACACAAAATGGCTCTTCAGTCCCAAACCTTTAACCCCTTCCTACACTGCTGTCTCATCAGAAAGGAGGACTTTTGTGCTGCCTCTCAGCCACTGCCCACCTATGCCTGCTGCTGCTGCCTCCCCCTCTTCCCGCTTTTGCTGCTTCCCTCACCATCTCCCTTCAGCAGACACCCCTGTCCTTCCGCAGGAGGCACAAGTCGGTCACTGCGACCTCTGAACACACACATAGTGACTCAATAGCTCTGCCAAGCAGAGGAACATCCCTGCTCAAGTTCAGACTTGAGACCAAGCCGAGCATGCTCTGGGTTAGAGGCAAGGTGGAGAAGAGGAAGAAAGGAGGCAAGAGGAAAACACGCAGACAGACCCCATGCCCAGAACGGCTTACCTCTATTGTGGGGTCATACTCATCAACAAAATGGTTCTGAATGAGCTGTATTGTCAAAGCACTCTTCCCAACACCACCAGCTCCCACCACCACCAGCTTATATTCAGTCATCTTCCAGCCGACCCCAGCTCAGGACTTCCAGGAGCACCACCACCTGCAAGGAGAAACACCGCCGCCACGTTAGGAGAGGGTGTCCCTCCCTGTTGCTGCCTGCTCTGCAGTGGGGCTGAGCGGTCAACCCTCCTTTTCTGCCAGGAAAGGCAGAAATCTGCAAAGCACAGCCTCATTCCTTGGGTATTGACTGTTCCCAGTGTCTTCTGCACATCCCAGGAGTACCCAAATGCTGCGAGGTAGAGACACTGAGGTCTGGGATCTGGCACACTGTAACACGGAGACACCTAATTCTGCAAGGCAGAGGTGAAGGGACATACCCCTTAAGGTTTGAACGGTCTTTTAAGTTGCTTGACTTCAGTAGGGATTGAGGATGGGACAAGGTAAACCCACTTCACTGCTATTCTGGATGGCAAAGAGCCACTTCTCACTCCCTCGGGTAAAAACCAGCAAGCCACCACCAGCGATGCAGCGTGCTTTTAATGTAGCTTTATGACATTGTTCATGAAATTGCCACCACACAGTATTCTGCTCCAGGACCACCCTTGGTCTCTCATCTCAAGCTCCCAGATGTACCACCCTGGCGAGCCTGGCCTGGAAACGGGGAGATGGTGGGATGGCCCATTGTCCCAAGGGTCAAGGGCTTTCTTACCTTCTTCCCACCCAGCACACTGACTACCCTGGGAATCTGGCCAGAGAAAATTAAACTTATCTCAGTTTATCACCCTGTATTGTACCTCCACGATCCACCGCCTTTCTTTGGCTTTTATGGTCTGATGTTCTGGGGTCTCAAACGTGAGATAGCCTCACCTAAAACCATGAAACTTGGTCTAAAAGTACAGCACAGAACTGCAGCATCCAGAGCTTAAATAGCTCTGCATTTAACCTAATACTCTCTGCTAGTAATGAAGATTACTTATGAAGGCAAAATAATCCATCAAACTGAATACAAAACTATGTTTATCCTGTGATATGCTGAAATCCTTCAGCCACGTCTGAATGCAAACTTCACACACTCCCCGAGCAAACTTCAAGAGGTAAGGGAGTGTTACTGATAAGAAAACAGAGGTACAGGCTGTGTAAATTAAAAGTAAACCCAATTTAAGAGGTCTGGTTTTGCACAAGTGCTCAGCACTGTCTCCGATTTGCCTTGTGTCGAGCTGGCAATCCAAAATCATTAGATTTGAAAGCCTTGGCCAATGCACTTTGGATGTCAATGCCCACGGGAGCGGGGAAGAAGTCCCAGCCCCCCCCACCCCAATATGCTGTTAGCTCCATGTCTTCACCCTCAAAGCTGCGTTAAACCTCAAACCACAGGGCAGGTTTGAGATGGCGGCACATCCGCACCCTCTGCCCATCCTCCAGCAAACGATGCCTCCTGCTGTGCTGGCCATCACAAGATGGAGGAGGATTGCAGAAGAGGCACCCCTGCTCCCATGAGATGAAGCTGGCATGCCCCACAGGGGAGAAAGAGATGATATCACAAAAGGTGCTAATTGGGAATTATGACTAGGGTCAGGGTGAACCTGCAAACCACAGTTCTGCAGCACCGTGTACTTGCCATGGCCCTTCAGCATGAGAATTCATCCACTCCTGACCTCCTCCCTTAAATTTCTGCTCCCAACTCCACCAAGAAAGAGGAACTTTAACTCACGAAGATTACAAAACCCCGAAGGTTTAAATAGAAATCCACCCTCATTGGACCACAATCCCTGCCCGCTGAAAGTCACCCCAGGGTCAGATACTCATCCGCAGCCATCATCTGTGAGCTCTGGGGAAGCCACCCGAAACGCAGCAGTTAGTGGGAAGATGAGCTCCTGAAATCCGGGAAGCTGGTACAAACTGTGCCGGCAAAGGCCACTCTAGACCCAGTCTGCATCGGATGCATTTGCTAACACAGCAAAGATCTAATGGAAAGGAGGCCAGAACTTTCTGCCTTCAATCCCCACCTGACTGCAACCTTAAACTACTCAGACAGTTCAATCACCCACTTGAGCTGGGAGCAGACAGACACAACCGCCTCTTGTCAAAGCCCTTTTCTGAGCTGCTATCTCCGTAGTGGGAAGGCAAAAAAAGCTCATGCCCTTCTCGGCATCCAGGATCCTGAAGAAAGGCAAGGGAGGGGGTGCAAAAGAGCAACCAGAGCACAAACACGATGCCAAGCAGGACCTCTGGTTGCTGTGCCATTCTTCATTGCTGGAGAAGCTGAAGGTCATTAAACACAGTGGAAAAGTGGTGATGGTGGGGGAAATGAGGTGCGAATAATGTGATAACCTAGGTTCATGCACAAAAGTGCCACTGCTTCCCAGAAAAGTCCAATGTGCCTCTGTTCTGGTGGCCAAGGAAGAGATGCAAGGCTACAGGAAGAGATGCAAGGCTACAGGAGACAATCTAATTGACCACACACAGGTTGCTCTGCTCTATTAATGCATGCCCTCACGTATATGAACTTCTCACATATACTACCTTCTCCGGGACAAGAGAGATCCCCACCCCAGGCTTCTCATCTCTCTGGGATGGGAAGAGACAAGTACCATGAGAGACAGTGACAGAGGAGCAAATGCTGACTGACCATCTCCACCAGCACTGCTGGCCAGGAGGGGATTGTTCCAGCAGCAGAACAGCTCCACAACTGAACACAGAGGGGTCTTGAGGGTCTGAAGAAACTCTGCAACCAACTCCCATCTTTCATATAGAGCAGGGAGATCTGCAACCCCTAGCAAAACACACAGCAGCTGCAAATAAAGGCCTGCAGTGGCTATGATGAATCTTGCTCTGCATCTGGTGCTGATGATGGAGCAGCTGCTGCGATGATGCTCAAGAGGAACTGCACAACCACCCAAGTCTACGGGACTTGCTAAGACAGTGAGAAAAGCCTAGACTCAATATGGGGAGGAGAAGACATGAGTCCTCAAGGAAGAGGTCCTCCCTCAAGACCACCCCAGTGGAAGGCACTGCTTGGCCTATCCCTTCAGAAGATCCCCAGCCCACAGAGACACACCAGCCTCCTGGTCCACACTGCTGCAGAAGGTGGGGGCTGAGGCGGTCAGCCATGGCAGCTTAAGGGTCTTACCCTGCTCCAGAACTCAGCTGAGCCACTGAGCTCTGCTTCACAGCAGAGGGGCAACTGCACATCAGCAAGCCCTGCACATCACCACCCCAGCCCAGAGCTTTGGCTCCTCCACAGAAACAGACCCACGTCTCCCTGCTCCGCACCTACCCAAGAGTCAGGGGAAACGAGGGGGGCGAAAAAGCTGTTGCTCCCTACCACTCATGGCCAGCACATGGACAATTTACATACAAGAACTCTGCAACATTGTTGTTTGCTCACTCACACCGTACCTAGAAGGTGCTGGCACCTCAGCTAACTCTTCACCACCTGCACACCATCCTCGCCCTGGCAATGGCAGGAGAGATTCTGCTGCTTGCAGAGGATGGTGAGTTCAGCCCACCCAACTATTTCATACCATTGCTGCAAAACATTTCCTAATGTAGAGCGAGAGTGCGGGGAATGATGGACAGCTCTGGGCGTGAGCGCTGCCTGAATTAATGTGTGCTAAAATCAATGTTCAGACGAGCTTACTTCCTTTCCCAAAGGATCCATGATGCAAACTCTTCACAGGGAGCGTGCAGACCCAACTGCTCTTGAGAGCACCTGCAAATGCCACAAGAGAGGGAGCCTGGCCAAAGTCTGCAGGGAAAGCAGGGATTTCCATATGGCCAAGCTTTGTTACAGAGTTGGGCAGCTGGTCTTACCCCTAAGTTGACCTCACCAACACCGTCTCATAGCTCCCCATCACGCTCTTTGCTCCTGAACATGGGAAGAGCAAAGCTGGTCATCGACACACAGACTGCTTTTGATGGAGGGGTGGCTGTTCCGCAGCACCACATGAACATCACCACGACAGCATGGGCTGGTTCAAGGATGTGTTGGTTTTGCGTGGCAAGGTT